TCTGTGAATATTGGGATATTTTCAGAACAAAATGTTGGGGGTATCAGGCTGAGAAAAGAAAGAATTAGAAAGTTATCTAATTGGATACAAATTTTCTGTTTGGAATGATGAAAATTCTCTGGAAATAGATGGTGGTGGTTACTTAATGGCAATTCACTGAACACTTAAAAAAAGTCAAAATGGTAAATTTCATGTTATATCTTTTTTTTTTCTTTATTGATTTCAGAGAGAGAGGAAGTGAGAGGGAGAGACAGAAACATCGATGAGAGAGAACATCGACTGGCCGCCTCCTGCATGTCCCCCAGTAGAGATTGGGCCCAAAATTTGGGCATGTGCTCTGACTGGGAATCGAACCTGCAACCTCTTGGTGCACGGGTTGATGCTCAACCACTGAGCCACACCAGCTTTTTTTTAAAAAAAAAGCTTGAAAGCCAAAGGGCAAAAGATGTTGGGGGAAAATTCATGTGAAAGTTTGTGCCTTCTCTAGAGGCAGTCTGGGGTACTATACAGAGAGAAGGGTGAAAGGGGCAGGCTGCGTGAGTAAGTGTGCTAGGCCCACTTGGAGTAGAGGGTAGTGGGAAGAAAACACAGTCTTTGGAAACAGACAGACCTGCGTTCATAATCCCCTTTCACTTTCTAGTTGAATAACTATTTGTTTCGACCTCCCACACCTCACGAACCTCTGGGTAGCTTGATTCTGCCTCCATTTCAGGAAAACTTGTGCTAGAGTTGCTGATGGAACCAATTAAATGTTTACTATATATTTAAAAAGCTATTTGTTATTGCTATTGTTACTGTAACAAATTGCAACAAATTTAGTATCTTAGAACAACACAGATTTATTATTTTGTAGTTCTGGAAGTTTAAAATGTGTCTTACTGGGCTAACATCAAGAAATGCGTTCTTGCCCTGGCCGGTTTGGCTCAGCAGTTAGAGCGTCGGCCTGCGGTCCGGAGAGACCCGGGTTCGGTTCCCGCTAAGGGCACATACTTCGGTTGCAGTTTGTCCCCGGCCCTGGTTGGTCGTGCGGGTGGCAGCCACTCGATGTGTCCCTTCACGTCGATGTTTCTCTCTCTCCTCTCTCTCCCTCCCACTCTATCTGTACAAAAAATGGAAAAATATCCTCGGGTGAGGATAAAAAAAAAAGAAAGAAATGCGTTCTTCCTTCAGAAACTCTGTGTGTGTGGGGGGGAGGGGGACTCACTTCCTTGTCTTTTCCAGCTTTTAGAAACCTCCTCTATTCTTTGGCTTGGCTCATGGCCTTTTCCTCCATCTTCAAAGCCAGCAGTAACATCTTCAAATCTTTTTAATGCACCCCACCCCCCTGCTTCCTTAATCACATCTCTTTCTCTGACTCTCCTGTCTCCCTCTTTCCCTTATAAGAACCCTGTGATTCTATTGGGCCCACCCAGACAATCCAAGATAATCTCCCCATCTCAAGATCCATAATTTATTACATCTGCAATGTCCCTTTTGCCATGTAAGGTAACATATTCACAAGTTCTGAGGATTAGGACATGGACATGATGGGGGGGCATTTTTCTGCCTATTATGGTGATTTTGAAATTTATGTTACCCGTACTCCTATGACAAGACTACACTAAAGAGGAAACATATTTCTCGTAATTTTTAAAAATATGTTTTTATTGATTTTTTTAGAGAAAGAGGAAGGGAGAGAGTGATAGAAACATCCACGTGAGAGACAAACATCTATCAGCTGCCTCCTGCATGTTCCACCCCCCCCCCCCAACCGGGGATCAAGTCTTTAAGTCCTCAATGCAACCTGGGCATGTGTCCTGACCAGGAATCTAATTGGGACCTCTCAGTCCATGGGACGATGCCCAATCCACTGAGCCACACCTGCTGGGCATATTTCTATAATTTTTTCCCTAATAGTTTTATTGAGATATGATCCACATACCATACAATTTACCCATTTAAAGCAAATAATTCAAATGGTGTTTAGGAGTCACAGACTTATGCAATCATCACATTTTCATCTTTCTACCATTTTTACATTTGTAGAAACAAAGACTTGAAACATTAAGGAAACTTGCTTAGGGTAACATCTATTGGCAGGGCTGGGGCATTGCAGTGGCTGTCAGGAGCTGAAATTCCAGTCCAGGCCTGGACTCCCTTCATTAAGACCAATCACCTGGGAGAAGTGTGGTGTAGTAGTGAAATAAGCAGGTGCTTAAGCCAAGTGAGACTTGGGTTCAAGGCTTTGTTTCTGCTATCTACAAGCTATGTGATATTTGGTAAACCTCGTGGAGTCTTGGTTTCTTTATTTGCAAAATGAGAACAATAAAATTAATGGGGAGCCCTGGCCGGTTTGGCTCAGTGGTTAGAGCGTCAGCCTGCGGTCCAGAGAGACCCGGGTTCGGTTCCCGCTGAGGGTATGTACCTCGGTTGCAGTTTGTCCCCGGCCCTGGTTGGTCGTGTGGGTGGCAACCACTCGATGTGTCCCTTTCACATCGATGTTTCTCTCTCTCCCTCCCACTCTATCTGAACAAAAAAATGAAAAATGTCCTCGGGTGAGGATAAAAAAAAAAAAAATTAATGGGGAGAGGAGGTATCCGACTCACCTTTAAGATTCCTTCCAACTATGTAATTCAAAGTTTCAATGGCAGGGAAAGATAATAAAAAATAAATTCCCCAAGACTTGGCCCCTTAGCTCAGTTGGTTGGGCATCCTCCTGAGCACTGAAAGGTTGCTGGTTTGGCTCCCAGTCAGAGTACATGCCTGGGTTGCAGGCTCGATCCTGGGGAGGGGGCATGCATGAAGCAGCAGATGGAGTTTCTCTCCCTCTCTCTCCCTTTCCCTCTTAAAAATAATACCAATACTACTACTAATAATAAATCAATAAAAATAAATAAATAAATCCCCCAAGCATCCAGGGCAACAAGAGGGATGAGTATTCCCTGGACAGACACATGCTTCCCTGGTACAGGCCTTAAGAATTCCTCACTGATGGGCCTCAGCTGAGTGGGAAAGAGGACGTGTAAAATGACCTTTACAAAGGCAGAGAGAGCCCGGTGGGTGGGGCTCAGTGGCTGAGCATTGACCCATGCACCAAGATGTTTCTGGTTCAATTCCTGGTCAGGGCACATGCCCAGGTTGTGGGCCAGATCCCCAGTGGGGGACATGCAGAAAGCAGTCAATCAATGTTCTCTCTCACTGATGTTTCTATCTTTCTCTCCTCCCTTCCTCTCTCTCTCTAAAATCAATAAAGAAAAAATTAAAGCCCTAGCCAGTTTGGCTAAGCGGTTAGAGCGTCAGCCAGGGGACCAGAGAGACCTGGGTTCAATTTCCGCTAAGGGCAACTACCTCCGTTGAAATTTGCCCCCCCCCTTGGGGTCGTGTGGGTGGCAACCACAGGATGTGTCTCTCTCATGGATGTTTCTCTCTCTCTCTCTCTTCCTCCCTCTCTCCCTCCCGCTTTGTCTGAAAATAAATGCAAAAATGTCCTCAGGTGTGAATAAAAAACAAACAAACAAACAAAGACAGGCAGAGAGAATTGGGAAGAGTTGAGAGGCGGGTCAGGTCTTGGGGTGGTCTGCCCTGGAGTGGGCAACGATACTGCCTGTGGTATCAGAGGTGGGAGGGATCAATGGCAGCTCTTCTCCAAGGGCAAGTTCAGCCGCTAAGGGCTAGAAGGGAGGGGGAGTGTGGTGGAGGGATGGTTCTGAAAATAAATCTCCAGGGCAGCATTGGGAGACACCACACCACCTGCCGCGCAGCTGCATTCGCCCCCGCCATCTCCCGCCACGCCCAGTGGTCCACCCGACGTGGTATGCTCCGCCACCACAATAAGCCTCCTTCTTCCAGAGTGCGATTGGTACAGCCCAAGCTGGAGAAGGGGGGGCAGCCGGTGAGGGGCACGCCCCTGTCTCTGATTGGCTGGATAATTTAAAGATCCGGCCAGTGATAGGATGATTCTCTACTGCTAGTATTTGAAAGTTCCTAGAGCCGGAGCTTCCCCGGCAGTTCGGTTCTGTTCAGCTTGTTCGTTCGAGTTCTGGCGCGAGTATCCACACGGTTTCAGAGTTGGGAGGAAGAGACCCTGCCTCTTTAAGGGATCCCTCTTGGGAGAGTGCAAAAGAGAGGGTAAGCCGGAGGGAACACACATTCCAGGGTCCCCCCGCGATTTCCCTAGCCAAATACCCTGCCCCTTCCCCACCTTGGCTCCTACCAGCCGTGTGGCCTCTCTCAGCCTGTTTCCACTTTTGTACACGGGGAATAGTGAGACCTGCCCGGCTGCGTATAAACCAGTGAACGTACCTGGGAAGCGATGATTACATGCCAACCCCCTTGCTCATCTCCCCACGTGAGATTCCCTTACTTCCTGGGAAGAGGACTGAGGATCCCCGTGCCCCCCCCCCGCCCCCCGCCCCCGTCATTTTGAAGCTGTCTTCTTTTTTGTCCAGGGTTCCCTTCTGTGGCCCTTGCCTGACAGCCGAGGCTCCCCAAATCAGGGTGCATTTGATGCTGCCCACCCGCTGCTTTGGAAATGACTGTGTGGGAAAGTAATTTCTAAATGAATTTAATAAGTGACGCCAGGGTCCTTTTAGAATCACCATGACCTGGTTTTGTTTTTTTTTTTTAATTATTTATTTCTTCACCTGAGGATACTTTTCCATTGATTTTCAGATAGAGTGGAAAGGAGGGAAGGAGAAAGAGACAGCGAAAGAGACAGCGAAACATCCTTGTGAGAGAGACATCGATTGGTTGCCTCCCGCACAATCTCCAACGGAGCCAGGATCGAACCTGCAACCTAGGCACGCGGCCTTGACCGGGAATCGAACCCGAGAACTTTTGGTCCACAGGCCGATGCTCTACGGCCCAGCCAAACCGGCCAGGGCACTGCTACCTCTTTGTGTTACCTGTGACAGCCTCCATGAGCCGATGTGGCCTTGACCCAGCTCCCCGTCATGGCCTCTGTACCACCTGTTACATCCTTGAGCTCCCGAGACCCCTGTGCTGCGATCCTTTCGCAGACCTGCAGAGGCGGCAGTGATGCTGTCGGGTACTCTGGCCGCCGCCGAGTGCGAGGACGCGGAGCTGCGGTGCCGCGTGGCTGTGGAGGAGCTGAGCCCGGGTGGGCAGCCGCGAAGGCGCAAGGCTCTCCGCACCGCGGAACTGAGCCTAGGTCGCAATGAGCGCCGCGAGTTGATGCTGCGCCTGCAGGCGCCCGGGTCCGCGGAGCGGCCTCGCTGCTTCCCCCTGCGCGCCGCGCGCCTCTTCACACGCTTTGCCGCCTCGGGGCGCAGCACACTGCGGCTCCCCGCCCACGGCTCTCCCGGGCTGGGAGCGGTGCAGCTGCTGCTCTCGGACTGCGCCCCGGACCGCCTTCGCCGCTTCCTCCGCACGCTGCGCCTCAAACTGGCTGCGGCCCCAGGCCCCGGGCCGTCCTCCGCCCGCATGCAGCTGCTTGGACCACGGCCCCGTGACTTCTTCACCATCAGCCCGGTGCAGCCCGAGGAGCTGCGGCGCGCAGCGGCCACCCGGGTCCCGGACACCACGCCGGTGAAGCAGCCCACAGAGTCCCAGGTGGGGGCCAAGCCCAACACTGTGAGGACAGGAAAGTGGGAACGCTTTGGGGACTGAGTATGCCACTGAGTTGGAAGAGACCAAGGAGACCCAAGTTTGGGGGGTAGATGGTGGTGGTATCTGAGGGGGCTGCCAGTTATCTCCAAGGAGATGCCCATCGGACATCTGAGTATAACAAGAGATGAGGAAATTGTTCGTGTGTTTATCACAGTGCAATCCCCGAGACTGGGTTTGCTAGAATACGAAAAGGGGGCCCAGGTGACATGAAAAGAGAAAGCAAAGAAGGAGTCCTGAAAAGGAGAGGAGCTTTTGGAGAAAACGAAGTAGTCAGCAGTATCAGGGACAGACAACAGGGATGGGGACAAAGTCTGGTGGTTTTGACAGTTTTTTAATTCGGGGAGATGGATGGCAGAGCACAGGGGTTTGAGACTAAGCTGGTGAGAAGATGGAGATGGGGCAAGAAGGAGCCCTGGCTAGGCAGAGTTTTGCTTGGGTGTTTTGAGGTGAGAGAGAGGTTTGTGGCAGGAAGAGAAGTGAGAAGGAAGGATGAGTGAGAGGACCAGGAGAGTTAGGGAACCCAGGAGAGGAAGCTGAGGATCCAGGTCCACACAGTGGGGTCTTCAGGGAACCAAGAGTCAGGGAGACCCAGCTGTGGTCCCTTCCTCAAGGAGAGACCTGGACCCCAGTAGTGCGGGCAAGATCTCCCGGTGAACCAAGGCTACCCAAAGGCTCCAAAGAATGAAGCCAGCAGAGTTGCAAGGACTACCAGGCCTAGCATTGTACCTGGGTGAAGAAGTGGGTGGTGGCAATGCCTAGAGTGTGGGGTAAGGCTCTGAGATGACCATGCCCCCCCCCCCCAGGAAGCGCCAAGATGGCCCCTGCCTGTGAAGAGGCTGAACTTGCTCCCCACCAAACCACAGCTTTCTGAGGAACAGGCAGCAGTGCTGAGGGTCATCCTGAAAGGCCAGAGCATTTTCTTCACTGGAAGTGCAGGTAGTCAGGGCAGAGTGGGGAAGAGAATGGTGGTGAGATGCAATGGAGAAGAAGTGGTATTGACTTTGCCCTCTGCCCAGGGACAGGGAAGTCTTATCTGCTGAAGCGTATCCTGGGGTCACTGCCTCCCACAGGCACTGTGGCCACTGCTAGCACTGGGGTGGCAGCCTGCCACATAGGGGGTACCACCCTCCATGCCTTTGCAGGTAAGTGAGAGCCCCTGGGGCTAGAGCTGGGAGCAAGCAGGCCTGTGGGAATGCAGGAAAGGGAAGTCAGGGTTGAGACAGGGCTGGATCTCAGCCCAGGCTCAATAATGTCACTCACAGGCATTGGCTCAGGTCGGGCTCCCCTGGCCCAGTGTGTGGCCCTCGCCCAGCGGCCAGGTGTGCGGCAGGGCTGGCTGAACTGCCAGCGGCTGGTCATTGACGAGATCTCCATGGTGGAAGCGGACTTTTTTGACAAGCTAGAGGCTGTTGCCAGGTCAGTATGTGCAGTGAGGGCTGAGTTCCAATGGTTTTCCCTGAGCAACCTGCTCACCCTCGCCGCTATGCTTGCTCCTCTCCAGAGCTATCCGGCAGCAGAATAAGCCATTTGGAGGGATCCAGCTCATCATCTGTGGGGACTTCCTGCAGCTGCCACCTGTAACCAAGGGCTTCCAGCCCCCACAGTTCTGCTTCCAGGTACCACTCACCCTCTTGTATTACACCCCCCACCCAGAGGTCTGCTCTGCTCCCTGACACCTCCACCTTCCCCCACCAGGCCAAGAGCTGGAGGAGGTGTGTCCCAGTGACCCTGGAGCTGACCAAGGTGTGGAGGCAGGCAGACCAGACCTTTATCTCTCTGCTGCAGGCTGTGAGACTGGGCAGGTGGGCTCTATGAATAGAAGAGGGGCTATGAATGAGGATCCAAGTGAGGGTCACGGAGCAGCACGGGGACCCAGAGAAGGGGAAGAAATGCTTCCTGGGCCCATAGGAGATGGTCACTTTGTGAGCACTGAAATCCTTCCTCCCCCAGGATTGGGTCCCATCACCCAGCACAAGGCCTGGCACACAGTAGGTGTCAGGGAACGATGGGCAGATGGACACACAAGAGGAATTCAGAGATGTCAACACTAATTTCACAGATGCAGAAACTGGGGTTCAAGGAGGTGAAGTGACTTGCCCAAAGTCACAGCTGGGATTTAAACCTCGGTCTGACTCTGAAACCTAGGTTCCTTCCACTCTTAAATCCTGTGTAGTCACTTGGTGAGGGAGGGGAGGTTGCAGACATAATCCCTGCCCAGATAGGACAAAAGGTTGAAAAATACAACTACTCTAACATGGAAGTGGACAGGCCAGAAGGGCAGATCACATGGGCCAGAACTGGGCCTTGAAAGCCAGGTCAGATTGGGATGGGCTTGGGAGAGGGGGGTGGTGGTGGGCCGCTCTCTATGCCTGGGGACAGGAGGCAGGTAGGAAGGTGCACAGTGCACCAGCATGCATGGGGAAATGGACCCACGTTGTCCCCACTCCTCCCATGGTAGTTGCTGCTGCACCCAGGCCTCCCCAGGTGGAAGAAGACTGGAAATGGGGGAAATAGAAACCCAGCCTCAATTTTTTTCCCCCAAAGGCCGTAGGCTAGGCTAGAATAGTGTCCTCTAGATTGTAGACTACCAGTATTACAGGTATCCACATCAGTGCCTGGTCTAGGTCCTCTAAACCTCTGGGCTGTGCTCCCTCGGCATATCAAATTTCCTGAGGGGCACTGGGGATGGGAGGGTGGCTAGCTCCTTCCTGGGGGAAGACAAAGGAAAGGGTACCCACCCATGATCACAGCCAAGCAGCCACACACACACACACACACACACACACACACCATGCATAGTCCCCATGTACAGGGTCCAAGTGGAGAAAGGACAAGTTGGCCAACATGAGGCCAGCAAATCTTGCCCGGGTACCCCTTTCCAGTCCCCAGGCCTGATCCATGGCCTGTTGTTTAGGCCATACCACCCATGCACCCCGTCTTCCCTGGTGCTCAGGTGGGCTCTGCCCTAACAGCCCAGCCCCCACAGGTGCTCAGATGAAGTGACCCGCCAGCTCCAGGCTACGGCCACCCACAAGGTGGGGCGAGATGGGATTGTGGCCACAAGGCTCTGCACCCACCAGGATGATGTGGCCCTTACCAATGAGAGGCGACTCCAGGACCTGCCAGGTGAGCAGGGAGCCAGGGCTGGGCCATACCAGCTGGGAAGGGCTATTAAGCAGGTACACCCCCGCCACAGGCAGCCTGGGCCCTTGGGATCATTTAAATATCTAGGCCCCAACCTCTGTGGTCATAAGGCCCTTATATTTGCAGAGGTAACTGATTTTGAGGTGTGTGACCTTGAAAGGGTAAATGCTGGAAGTGAGTCTTAAATCCAGGTCTCTGATTCTAAAGCCCCGGATAGGCCTGAGCTATCCCCACTACCTCCTCCCAAGCCCTGGTCTGATCTGTGTTTTTGGAAACTTAGCCATAAGTGACTAGTAATCTGTTTGCTCCACTCTCTTTTCCCAGGTGAGGTACACAGCTTTGAGGCCATGGACAGTGACCCTGAGCAAGCCAGGACTCTGGATGTCCAATGTCCTGTTAGCAGGCTCCTTCAGCTAAAGCTGGGGGCCCAGGTGAGTGGGGAGCAGAGCCTAGACCCTGGAAGCTTGAGCCTCCCCAACCTTTACCCCTCTGCCCAGGCTGCTGCACAGCCCGGAGGCCCAACTGTGACCACAGCCAACTCCCTTCCTCCCGTTCCCACCCACCTTCCTGTCTTCAGCTTTCCATTGCCCTCTTGTTTCTCCTTGGAGCTCCAAGCAGCGTTGCTTTGGATAAGTCCCTTGCCCTTGCTGAAGCTTGGTTTTCTCATCTCTAAATCAGAGAGGGAAATATCTACCCCACACAGTTGCCTTCTGGAGTGTACACTATACTGTGAGAGAGTCCCCCTTCCTTTCACTATGTTGGGGGTGAGCCAAATGGGAGCCTTTTCTCAGGTTCCAGAGGGCACCCTAGGTGAAAAGGCAGGCACTGTGTGGTTGGAAGATGGGTAGCAGGACCTGGGGGCTATCCCTTTAGACTGTGGCCCACACACATACCCCAAAACAGGCATGGAAGTTTTCAAAGTCCTGTGATGTCTGTTACCTTATTGCTCTTTGCCCCCTCCTGAGCATTGTCATTCCCCTTGACACAAGGAGAAACTGAGACCTGGGAAAATAAAGCATCTTGCTGCAGGAGGCACAGTCAGCCAGTGGCTAAGCTAAGGATTAGGACTCAGTGCCCCTCCATGCCAGCCCCGCCTCCCAGAACCACAGCAGCGTCCGCTGGACCTCAGGCCAGGCATAGGATGGGGTAGCTCTCCAGGCCTCCATTCTCTTTCCTTTGCAGGTGATGCTGGTGAAGAACTTGGCGGTGTCCCGGGGCCTGGTGAATGGCGCCCGAGGGGTGGTAGTCGGGTTTGAGACTGAGGGCAGAGGTAAGTGATGGGGGTGCAGACCTACTGCTTGGGGCAACAGGGCCCCAGGATAAGTGTGAGAAGGAAAAGTCTAGGATGGAAAGGTGAGACCTGCTTCTCCCCTCTGAGCCCTGAAGCAGGGCTGAAAAGTTGGACTTCTCCATGCCTCCCTCAGGGCTTCCCCAGGTACGGTTCCTGTGTGGAGTCACCGAGGTCATCCGTGCTGACCGCTGGACAGTGCAGACCACCGGGGGCCAGCTCCTCAGCCGGCAGCAACTACCCCTCCAGCTGGCCTGGGCACTGTCCATCCACAAGAGCCAGGTGGGCAGCCAGTGTGGGGGATGGGGAGCAGGGCAGAGGGGGGACAAAATAGGCCTGGGGCATGTTGAAGGGGTCCTTAACGGCTTTATGGGGGTTGAGTTTGCCCTGGATGCAAAGTTCCAGACCAGTTGTAGAAAACACTTTAACTGCATTCCCCATCCCACACTCTTCCTTTCCAGATGCATACACTTCCCTCTGTCATCTCCTGTCCTGCCATTTTCTGAGCCCACACCAGATATGTTAAATTTAATTTTACAACACCTATATGAGGTATAGACGTAATAATCATTTGTTTTACAGAGGAGGAAACCAAGGCTCAGAGAGGTTAAGTAACTTGTCCAAGGCCACACAACTAGTGAGAGGCAGAGCCAGGATTCCTTTCCATGCCTGTCTGACCCGGGCCTGGGTTCTTTCCTTTCACCCCTGTCCCTCTTTCTTATCCTGGATGTGTCTCCTAGAGCCCCTCCTACGCAGACACCCATCCAGGGTCAGCCTGTCCCTCTGCCTTGAGAATGTCCGGATGGGTGAGGAGATCCAGGAGCGCTAGCTGGGCTGAGGAGATGGGATCCGGCCCGCGGTACAAAGGACTTCAGGCAGAGCTAGCTCCATCTCTGTCTCTCCGTCCCCAGGGCATGTCCCTGGATTGTGTGGAGATCTCTCTGGGCCGTGTGTTTGCCAGCGGCCAGGCCTACGTGGCCCTTTCCCGGGCCCGCAGCCTGCAGGGCCTGCGTGTGCTGGACTTCGATCCCATGGTAGTTCGCTGTGACCCCCGTGTGCTGCGTTTCTATGCCACCCTGCGGCGGGACAGTGGCCTTGACCTGGTAAGAGGGAGTCACCCAGTGGTGGGCCAAGGGATCCTGGGTAGGGGTGGCAGAGCCTTCTCTTGTTCCATTGTGGACAGGGGCAAGAGGAAGGAATGCGGGCCCCCAGGCTCTGGGGACAGCCGAAGCCCATGACTCAGGTTCTCTGTCTTCAATCTAGGAGTCCCCAGATGATGACGAGGCAGCCTCAGACCAGGAGAATGTGGACCCAAACCTTTGAGCCACAAAGAGAAGACCAAGGATGGTCTCCCCCTCTTCCTGCTTCCTAGTGGGCCAGGACCCCAGAGAGAGCACAGGAGGCTGGCGGGTGCCTGCTCGCCCTTCATTAGGCCCCCTTAGCCTCCTGGCAGGCGTCCAGGCACAGTGCTTCCCACCCATTCGCCAGCTGTGCCTCAGTTTCTCCCCTTGCCCTGAGTGACAGGCTTCCAGGGTCAGGAGTAACCCTTTCTGTGCCACTTGGGGAAGGGCCTGTGGTGGTACCTGGTGTTAGAGGACAGAGCGATCTGCAAGGGCTGGCCACGGGACCACAGTCATGAGTGCCACCCCCTTTGGGCCGCCGAGGAAGAGGTGTTCCAGGAGCAGGAATAGGCCGCATGGACCCCGTGGGACTCCGGTCGAGTGAAGGCCCCACATCGAGGAGGGAACCTGAGGTAACTTCACAGCTAGGCCCAGCCCAGCACAGCCAGGACAAACGCCCTTCTGAGCCTGACGTGAGAACACGCACAGCAAACTGTGCGCCTGGATCTTAAGCTGCTTTTTTGGGGAAGAAATCGTGTGTGGGGATTGTATTTATTTAGGACAAATAGACCTGTGAATTGTGTGCGGACTGTGCGTTGAGTCTTCTGCCCTCTAAGAAGGCACCCCACCCGGGCACTGGTTACTCCTAGTCCAGGAGGCTAACCCCGTGCCCCTGTCCCCAGTCCTGCATGTGCACAGGAGTTTAGGCCTGGTGGCTGAGCTTCACAGACCCTCGTGTGGGCATTTGGAAAGCTGAGTTACCTGAGGCCGATAACTCACAATAAAATGACGAGGTGAATCACGTCACCCAGTAGTCAGATGAGGACACACTGGAGAACACACACGGTGAGAAACGGACCTGTTGCAACACTTGAAGGACGCACGGTGGAAACTTCTCATTCCAGGCCTTGCTGGGCTCCTGCTTGAACCTTCTGATCGGGAAGGAATCACCAACAAACTAGCTTCAGCTGATCAAAAAGCCTGATGGAAATTGCTCAGGGGCCCTCGTAGGCTGGTTAAAACTGTTAGCGTACCCTGCTTTCGACTGAGGGTTATCAGTGTGGCTGGTGAAGACCTTACGGTGGAAGCATGCATCAGCAGCTACAGAAAGCAATGGCAGACAAATATAAAATCACCAATAATGGGAGGGGTGGAGAATAATGAAACCACGCTGGTGGCTGGGGGGACGTAAAATATGGGTGCTTGAAGGCAGTTATCCTTGTCTTCCAAAAGCCATCAGAGGCCTCGGTGCACAGAGTGGGTGCTCAGGGAGTGCGTGGTTAAATGGTGGGGGCCATTGGCACGGGGGTTCAGTGCTGCGGCGGTGCAGAGGGGCTACGGGGCCTCAGACCTTCACTGTGGGCTTCGTGGAGGAGGCAGGGCTACAGCCTGGGAAGAATTTGACAGATAGTTAAAGCTCAAGGGAGACACCTGGCTGTCCATCCTGATTTTGCCACTTGCCAGCTGTGTGACTAGGCATGTTACACAACCTCTCTGAGGTTTCCTCACCTATAAAATGTAGGTGTAACTTCCTTTCACATAGGGCTGTTGGGGGAGGGCCAGCCACACGGCAGGAACTGTCAGTAGCTGTTATTAATATTTACGCTTACTAATGATTATCACCATGGTGTCCGGTCCCTGCACTGGCTCCTTTGGCAGACAAGACCTGAGGCTCAACCTGGCCAGTTTGGCTCAGCAGTTAGAGTCGGCCTGTGGACCACAGGGTTGAGGGTTTGATTCCTGGTCAAGGGCACTTACCTGGTTGCAGGTTTTATACCTGATACGGGGCCTTTCGGGAGGCAGCCAGTCAATGTCTCTCACACATTGATGCCCCCCCCAACCCAACTCTTTCTAAAAATCAATAGAAAAATATCCTTGGGTGAGGATTAACAAAAATTTTTTTTTAAGATCCAGAGGCTCAGAGGGGTGCCGGCGTGGCCCCTGGACAACCTCTGACTATCTGGCTTTTGTTACCACCTTTTCAGACCTTGAGAAGTTGATTGTTTTTCTGTAGCATGAACCCTTTTCTCTGCCCCAAATAAAAGACACTCGTAGGAGAAGCCATGCCCACAGGGTGACCCCCTCAACAAGTGGGCAACTATGGGGGCCTTTAAACAAGGTGTCTCGAGGGCCAGGATGTTTTCTATCTGCCCACATGACAGCCCTCCTCCCAGGTCCAGCTGTTAACGGGTCACACTGTGGCCCTGCCCTCAGGAAGCTTCCGCTTAACACACAGTTTGGGGACCGTCCAGTTCAGCATAGAAGGTATTGTCTCATGTTCTCTAGCAGCTCTTAACCCTTTGGGCTTCTTGGGTGGAAATAGGAGAAACTGACTCAGGGTAACTTAAGCAGGACAAGAAGGTAATGGAACAGAAGGCAACCTCAAAGAAGTGATACGGAGCTCAGAAACCCAGGCTTGGAAACAAGCGGGAACCGGGGAGGCTAGAACCACTGGCAAGAGTGGAGCGGGGAGCAGCTGGCCAGGAGGACTCCTGGCCACCCCTGGCCACCCAGCCCAGCCACCAGGGGAGGAGGGCTGCACTCTTCCGCTCTTCCTATCAGGTTGGACTTGGTCTCCCACGCAGGTCCTACGGCCACTGGCAGGAGGCTGAATGTGCAGTGAAGGTGCAAGAGGTACCAGAGCTTCTGTTGGGAGATGCATCTTACATCCCCCCCAGAGCCGGGCTGTTGAGGGTGTATGAGGGTCCTCCTGGGATTCTCCTCTCTGACCCCACTCTCCGCGCACTGCCAAGGCGCCCTCCCAGCCCTTTCCCCTCACCCAGGCACTGATTTCTGCTCTCCCTGGTTCATATGGACTTGCCTGTATAAAGCTGTCTTCCTCCCTGACCGCCTGGGCATCAGAAAGTCCTGTCCTTAGCAACCGCTTCTCATTGCGCAGATACTGTCCTCCTCAGTGCCAGCTGTGATCTACCTTGAGGGCAGTTATCAATTTACAAGTCCGTCTTCCCCTAGAACAAGGCAGGTCTCTTGGTAGCAAGAAACTTGGCTTAGCCATCCTTGTGTTTCCATAGCACTCGGCATGATGACTTGAGAAAGGACAGACTTCATAAAATGTTTGATAAATGAAAGAACACACCACACACAGTTCCAGGTCCCCGGAGAGGCAAGGATGTTTACTCCAGTTTTGCAGGGGAGGTAGCAGAGCCCTGGGGAGTGAGGCAGTGGCAGAATTGGAACTAGAACCCTGTGGCCTCCCCTTGGTCTTCCCAGAGCCCTCCAAAGGGAGTGAGATGTGGGCGAGATAGTAGACTGGTGGAGTGCCCACCTTCACCTATCCTCAGGGGGATGGCCAGGGGAGGGCTTAGCTATGCATGACTTCATTCTTTCTGAGGTCCTGGCGTATTTTGCCCACCCCACAGGGCCGATGGTCATGCTCAAACCCCTAATCTCAGCAACCCTCTCACTCCCCAAGCACCACACACCATGGACCACTAGGTGGTGCCAACTGGTCAGTCAGTCCCTTCCCAGAGAGCTGGCAGGACCGTGGTATGTGTGCCTGGTTGGTTGGGCATATGGACACCTCAGGAGCTCAGAGCCCTGGAAGAGTAGGGATGGGGGGGTCCCTTTGTTGATGAACTTGCGCCTGGTATCTGTTGAGTACCTCATGGTTTGTGTTCATCAGCCTCTTGTTTTCCACAATAACCCTGGGAAGACAGTGGGATATTATCCCCACCTTATGGGGGGGAGAAAACAAACTTCTTGAGAGATTGAGTGACTTGGCCAAGGCTACGCTACAAGCTGGGTCTAGAACCCAAGTCCCCGGATTCTGGGGTTTTTGCAGTTAGCAGAGGACCCTGAAGTCAGATACCGGCTACTCATTCCCCACTGGACATGCTGCCTAAATCCTTAGCCCTAGTTTCACCATCAGTGAAATGGGTAACAGCCAACCCATGGAGTTAGGACAAGAGCTGGGGTGGGGCCGGGCACGAGGTGAACCCTCCCGGTTAGCTCCTATTGGCCTCATGACTCTTACCTAAAGTGGCCATCCTGCACCCCTCTCCCACCCCGCCCTTTTCCTGCCTCTTGAGTGGCCTGGAGAATAACAGAGAATTAACCGTAGCCCAGATTAAGTGACTGATTTCTTTCAGTCTTCCAGGAGATACAGCTGTGCCCACGCACTAAGGAAGGGAGAAGGAAGTGTTTTTCCTCTCCGTCTCCCAACAAACATGAGGCCTCAGCCCTGGTCTGTGAGTGCATTTGTCATAACTGCCCCTCTTCTTCCCTGTCCCACTTCTTATCCGAGCATGCATGAGGGGGTCTTTGGACCTAGTGTACAGAGGAGACAGGCACTCACAGGTGGGCGCTCAAGATCTCCAGGCTGTAAATGGTGAAACCATGATGGCACCAGGTGTCTGAGGCCTCACCCCGGTGGTCAGGGCCTTTGCAAAAAGGAGCAAGCATGGGGTGCTTCCTGGCCCCTAGCTTTGTCCCAGAAATCCCACACTCAAGACTCCGTTTCTTTAGGATTCCAAGAGCTTCACCTGCTGAGGCATAAACGACTGGGCGGGGCCAGCGTGGCAGGGGAGAGGTTTGGAAGGAGACCCTGAATGGGGAAGTGAACCCCAGGTGCCAGACACGCCCTGCAGGGTGGGCAGTGACTATGCTGGCTGGCCCACCCCCACTCAGCCTCTCGCCCTTTTGGCTCCAGCTCCCTCCTTCAGCCTCACAGCCTCCAGGCAGATGCTGCCCCCAGGGCTGCCCCTCACATCCCTCCCCCAGCTGGTGTTGGGTTCAGTAAGCAGAGCCCCAGCTCACCTGGGAAGGTACAGAGTGAGCAGGGCAGCGAGGAGGGCATCTAGTTACAAGCTGGGGCTGGGAGGCCCGGCCAGGGCAGCCTGAGGGCAGGAGCCAAAGACCTGAACTGATGGTGGAGGCAGGTGTTGCAGCGGCTCCAAGTCACCCCCACCCTGCAGAAGCCCCCATCCTGCTATAGGAGGCCCTACCTTCGGATTTTTGCTTTCCTGAACACCTCCCAGCTCTGGGGGCTGTCGTGGAGAGACCATGGCATCCACCATCAGATGCCACTTGGTAGCTAGTATATGTCAGTTCCCTGACCTGGGCCTGTTTCCTCATCCTCAGGGTGGGAATAAGCCCTGCTTGACCACCTGCTGTCAAGGCGGATCCAGGGACTGTGCACACCCCGGGAAGATTGTTCCTCTTTCAGCTCTACTCCTTACTCTCCGCCACCCAGGATGGCCAACCCCCCACCACACACACCCCAGCCCTGGCACAGCACTCCATGCCTATTTAAGGCAAATCTCCTGATCTTCTTTTAAATAACATTCTCTCCTTGTTGTGGAGAAGACAAGCAGGGCTTCAGGAAAGGGGAGGAGAGCCCCAAGTATCCTATCAGGGAGTGGAGGGGGAGGGAAGATGGGGGGTAAAGAGGCATGGCTCCCCTCCTCCCACAGTGAGCTTGGGAAAGTCCTTGCCCTCCCCACCCCCACCCCCTCCACCTCCCACGTAGGTCCTGCACAGGCCCTGGATGGGCTCAAACCTCTTTAAAGGGGCTGGGGCACAGCCCCTTGCAACCGTGGGGGCAGGAGGCTGGAGGATAATG